TTTAGTCTTTTGCATAATTTGTTTATTACATATTGTTATCACCAAATTTATTAAAAGCAGTTGTTAGATACCTGTATCAAAGAGTGTTATGGGAAAAAAAGTTTTAATGATAAATAATTTGCGTTTAGTAAATGTTGCACCTAATCATATTGTAAGTATATTTACGAAGAATTTATAGAAGTACATTGAATAAAGTCATACCATTGAATTTTATGAAATAATATTACAATTTGTAATGATAATGATGCTTTTCATTTCTGCTTTTCAAAACTTACAAAGCAACCTTTCGTAATTGTGACAATGTTACAAAAACTATACGTTTATGGGGTTAACACAGAAGCCGTGTTTGTACAGTTCCAATTACTACTCAAATATTGAGCAGTGAGATAGATAATCAGCTCCCTTTTTATTGCCTAATAATTAGAGGGAAATGTAAATAGTCAACTACACGGAAATGAACTTAAAGGTCACAACTTAAAGGTGTAGTTATCTAGAGTTCCCCCTGAGAATATGTCGAGTCACACGTAATCAATTACCAGAAAATTAATTTTATATTACTTTATAACAACAACAATCCATCTTATGGGAAACATGTAGTCGTTAAAATACTTACGAAGACTAAAATAAATAAAATATGGTTTTCATTAAAAATTCAACATCAACGAGCTGTTTATATAGCCCCTTAGTTTGTTTTTAATTGAATTGACAAAATACTGACAATATGCACATTATCTATTTTTTGAGTCCTTTATCTACACTAACCGGCACGAAAGACCCTTAGATTATTTTGACGAAATTGCCCGATCTTTTATTTATTGTTTTGTTCTTTTTACAAATTTAGCATACAATGAACACTTTTTAACAAAAATTCCCAAAGATAGTTTTTATCAAAAAATGTCTTTTAGGTTGAAATTTTTCAGATATTGTTAGAAAATCTCAATTGTGTTGAAGTTATCATCTTACCCTTGCTGCACTGTTACAACGAGGCTGTGCACTTTCAATTGTTTTTACTAAGACATTTCTGTGTGTTGATCTCAAAAGTGTTTATTATAAGAGTGCTTATGTCAATTCATGAAAATTTCAAGATGTCTTTAAGTAAAAAAATTGTTGAATTTATTGTTAGTCATTTTCAGGAAGAAAGAAATCAACGAAATACGTAGTTAATAGATACGAAGTTCCACACAGTACAGTACAACATGACTCTACTCGTTTTACAGAGACAGGAGCTTACACTATACGTCCTGGAACAGATCCGCACTGAAGAACTACTTATCAAGACGACCGTTTTATAGTGTCTTTAGTACTGAGAAATCGACTTTCAACTGTTTTAAGGTTGAAAACAGTCATCACATATCAGAAACTTAATTGCTAGAGAATGAACTGTTAGAAGACGGTTAAACATCCAGAACTTTCCTGGGAACATCATGCTTAGCCATTTTTTGAAATGCAGATCTTGCTTTCTCTATCCTAGATTTTATTTCTAGGGAATGGTACCAATTTTCATAGACGTTCTTACCAAGGTAGGGGTATATTTTTACTCTTTCTATTGCTTTACTATTCACACTGATTCTTCCAATTTGCTATTCCTTCTTAGGGATCATCATGCATTTTGATGCTAAACAGAGGCTCCCTCATACGCACTAAACTAAACCTAAATTTACCAATTACAGGAACATGGTCTAACAATATGTAAGCACCAGGGTAACTTTTAACTGATAGGCATCCATTACGGAATCTCTTATTCACCATTATGTAAATTTGATTCCGTAATATATTTCCTGGTTGATCTTGCGGATAGACTCAAATAAACAAACCTCTTCATGGTAGTTTGAAGAAAATATTTAGTCTTGCGAATTCTTTTTTCTCTACAAATAGTTTTAATCTTTTTCCTCTTTCATTTCTCTTCCCTAGACCAAAATCACCAATGAATTTACCGCTTTTCCCTTTACCACTTTTCGAATTCAAGTCACCCATAATAATAGTTATATCTTCTTTTTTAATTTGTCCAAGTGAATTTATCAACAACTCATAGAATCTCTTCTTCTGGTTTATCGCTGGGTGGGGCATACACTTGTAAAACATTTAATTTGAGTGGAGTATTATTTGGTTGGATTATTTTTCCCGCTTAAGTTTTCGTACATTGTGTTCGATACATTGTGTTCACATTTCAGGTACATATTTTAATAATCAACTCTGAAGTTTTTAAAGACACTTTTTTAGTTCTGTCACAGGGGTTTTTCTGGGTTACGACCTAGGATGCCCTGTGTTCTAGAGGTGGATCACCTCCCCTGTCGATCTTGGCTTCCGTATTCCATCATTAGTAACTGTTTCCACTTTGGTTCTATTTGCCATGATACCATTACTAAAGATATCATCAGGGACCTTTAATGCAGTGGTTTCTCGTTGATATCTGCATTCTGATGCCGTTGCCCACTTTCTTGGTTCTTCCGCCTTCGAGACCAATTTCTCAGTCTCAGGACAATAGAGCGCCCTTACACTTACCAACTCCTCAGCGCGAAGGCGTTAGCCAGTAAATGGTGGGATTGGATATTCCGGCAAACACTCGGACGTTAGAGACTCGTTAGTTATCTAGCAGGATGCACTAGATGACTATGATCTAGATCATCATACGAGCAGGTGAGGTTAACATTTAAATAGAAGAGGCTTTATGTTGCGCATCACTACCTCAATACACCCCAATATTGATGTGGGTTTGGTATATCTTCGGAGATGCGTACAGAATTGTACGTTATCCCTAGTGAATTTATCACCGCTGATAGGTACATAAATGAGATACTGTTGATAAATTATGTTGTCCCATATTCACCATTTTTTTAAGAAAACTTCACACCGATGCATGACAATGCACGCTTTCGTGCCGCCCGCATTGTCAGAGAATACTTAAATGAAGTATTTAGTAGAAGTATTCGAAAAAAAGTATCTGCTTCTCTGAATAGGCTAGATTAAGTTGAGTTAGGCTAGGTTAGCTTAAAATGGCTGTTTTAGAGAAATGGTAAGCAATTCCACAAAATGCAATAATTTTAAACTTAATTTACAATATGCATAGAAGAATGAATGCCATTATACAGGCTCGTAAAGGTAATACGAGATATTAATTAAATCAAGAAGTAATTTATATAGTTAGTATTACGCATTTTCTGTCTAAAACATTCCTTAAAACCATAGGCGTATATATTAACAAAGACCAAGTAGCCTGTAGAGCTAAAAAACGATACCATATTTGTTGTCGTTGTCAGTTGTGTCTCTATCTTACATTAAGTAAGTATAGCAGCTTGTATTTATGTTCGAGAGAGAACGAGTGAAGAGTTTCAATGCGGTAGAGAGAGACAAATCGAAAAACCGCAAAAGATGTTTGAAGATGATCCCTCTATTAGTGCATGCCAATCATCAATAAAAGTAACAATAAAAAATAAACTTGGTTTTAACAATTTTATAAAAAATTCAAGGGGTGCCCACTTTCTTGCCAGTGAGTGTATTTTGGGACATTAGCCCAACCCTGTATAAGAAACAAAACAATTAGCACTAAAATTATAGCTATAGACTATTTTCGAGCCTATAGATCATCCCATTAATAATCCCAAAATGTCGGAGTAGGCCACAAAAAATTAATTGGTAGATATTAAAAGATAAGACTATTCAGCACAAAAAGGGTCCTAATAAAGACCTAATACAATTTTAAGTAATATGGCCAGTATTATTAGAGATACTACTAATGAAATACTTAGAAAACTTCAGAAGTTTGAGAACTTAACTCTTACCAAATCTATAAAAGACTTGGTAAGGGTTAAATGAAATTTTTAAAAGGAGATAAAATTATATAGACAGTGGTAAGAAAATAAATCGGAGACAGATTTTCAAGGTTATACGGTCGCCAAAAAGGAAGCGAAAGTGGCAGTAGCAAAAGCCAAAGCAAGCGTATACAGGATCAACTGTAGTTTAAGTACAAAAAATAAAGAAAGGTAAAGCATTTGGACCAGATAATAATCGTTGAGAAGTGTAAACAGCATTAGGAGAGACAGGAAGAACTTGACTATATATGACTATAGAACAAATTATAGAGGTTTATTTAATGGAATAATGGAAGTGGGACAAATGCCAAATGAATGGGGAAGCAGTATATTAGTACCTGTTTACAAAAACAGCGGAGATATACAACAGTGTACAAACTACATGGGTATAAAACTACTTAGACACACCATGAAAAGCTGGGAGTAATTAATAGACACGGATACTTAATAAAACCGAAATATCCTATCACTGGTAAACACACAATGTGCTGCCGTAAATTTGTTTACTCTTTCTAGATAATTTGAGGTAAAAAATACCACCAGATTTTCTCCATCAGATTGTTTTCAGAAAATACGACACCAGATCACATATCTAACATATAGGGTAATTTAACCAACTACCTATATATATATATATATATATATATATATATATATATATATTATATATATATATATATATATATATATATATATATATATATATATATATATATATGTAGTGCTGCTACCCAAAAAAATAAACAACACACGAATAAAAAGTAAGATATTTATTGTACAGAAATCATCACACATATATGCCAAAAAAACTTAACTTTTCATCTAACGTTACCAGCATTGCAGCACAAATCTGTTATTTGACGTCACCTACAAACTTCCTTTATAGGATTTTCTTTTAAAAGGACGGCCTCTTTGAAGACTCCAGCAGTAATCCGCCATCATGTCCCATCTCCCCATCGTTTTGATATTTTGGTTGTTCCTTACTAAGATCACCAAGATTTTCTGGGAAACCCTCCAAGTGGCTGTGGAGGATATGAATTTTAATACTTATATGACAACGGTGTTTCTTAAAATTGTTGAGCTATCCCGGTAGTGTTTTCTTTCACTATATCCTGGTAATTTTTCGATTTATTGTTTCCAAGAAACTTTTCCATATCTTTCACAAAAGAACACCATGCATTACATTCAATTTTAGTAATCGAGGATAAGTTGTCGTATCTGAGGCCCATCAAATATTTTGGCTTTTAATTTTTCTTTACAAAGGGCAGGGAATTTCCTGGATAAGTTTTCAAAACAAGGACGATTCTGGTCTAGGGCCTTTACAAATACTTTCACAAGCCCTCGTTTAATATGTAACGGGGGTAATATTATTTTCTCTTGGTCGACCAATGCTTCGTTAACCACATTAGCTTCTCCTTGGACTAAAGCATCTCTAGAACGCCAGTTTCTTTTACTCCAGTGCTGATCCTTAGCCCTGCTATCCCAAAGACACTCGAAACAATTACATTTTATATAGTCATCTTGTTGTCCCAGGAGAAAGTTCACCATCTTAAAATTAACATAGATCACCTACTGATATTGGTCATACTTGATGTTTTTTTGCACCACCTATATTGTTTAATATTCTTTTATTTTTGTAGAATGCCCAATTGGTATACTTCCATATTTATTGCCATTACGTAGAAGGGCACACTTCAATCTTCGTTTGGAACTGTCGATAATAAGACGCCAGTGATCTGGTGTATACTCCGATACACCCATTTTGTAGAACAGTCCTTTAATATTGTTACAAAAAACATATCATCTTGCAAAAGATCTTTGTCTCTATTACGGTAGTATGTAATTTTGGTGTCTAAGAGAAGAAGATTCTTTTCCCTTAGTATGCAGGCAAGCAACTCAGAAGAATCCTTTGGAAGGTTCAAATCTCTGATAAGATCACTTAGCTTTTAGCTAATTTCAAGATACAGTAGAACCTCGATTATCCGTCTCTCTATTAACCGTCACCTCTGTTAACCGTCAGGGTCCATACATAAATTATATTAACTACATAAGTAGAAATTTAGTCATCAATTCATTTTGTTTGAGCATTGAAATAAGCCAAAGGAAATTCTTTGAAATATACTCGTGCAATTATGCCACCACTGCATTTTTTACATAAATAATGTTTGTTCTTATTCAGGGTTCTGTATTAAATTTTAATTTAAATAGGTAATGATAAATTATACTAAAAATCGTTGTTTTTCAACATCAAATTTAATGGAGATCCTTCATTCAAAGAAAAAAGCGGTTGGTTGGAAACCTTCAAAAATCGCCACGGTAAATGGAAACTGAAAATCGAAGGGAATAAATCGCCGCAAGAATTAAAATCGTTGACAAATATAAAAGAAAGTTTCAAGCTATGATCGATGAATATGGTTTGACACACGATCAAGTGTTCAATGCGGCTGAAACTGGTTTAAACTACAAAGCATTGCCAACGAAAATACTCGCTACACTGTCTGAAAAATATGCACTCGGAATTAAAACGCAAAAGCAACGAATCCCAGCAATGTGTTCAAATGCAAGTGGTGACCATCGCCTTCTTTTATTATTGATTGGTACAGCAAAAAAACACGTTGTTTTAAGGGCATAAATATAAACGCGCTGTCCGTTAACTACTACCCACAACATAATGTGGGGATTATTTTTTAGGTTTTTATATCGGACGTTCGACAAAACTTGCAAGCAAAAAATTTGCTAGCAAAGGCAATTCTCATTTTGGACAATGCACCTGCCCATCCTGAAGCCAGTATGGTACGAAGTGACGATGGAAATATCACGTGCTCTTTTCTGCCTGCGAATACAACATCATTGGTACAGCCAATGGATCTATCGGTCATTGAAATAGTCAAAAGAAGGTACAGAAAAAAAGTTCTTAAAACCTAGGGAAAACAAGGAATTCCTCAAAACGAGGAATATTATTTGTCAGAGTACTGGAAAGCATACAATTTAAAACACGCAGTCGACAATGCTGTAGATGTTTCGAAAGTAACGCTAAAAAGAGCGTGGAATAAATTATGGCCTGAATCAACTCAAGACGAAAATGGCCCCGTGACAGCCGGAATGCGGTAACAAATGAAGTTATGGCTGAATCAACTGTTGTGTTTTCGTTGCCTAAAGATGACATAAACGAATTGTTAATTTGTGATGAGGACGTAAACGGCCATAGATTGTTGACAGATGATGAAATCGTTGAAATGGTAACAAAAGCGGACGAAACTGATTCAGAAGCTGACACAGACTTTGATGGTGGCGATGTTGATGATGCTATTGCAACTCACAGAGTTGCGTAAAGAAGCTAGAGAAGCTGCATAGCACATAGAACAATTCATCGAGTGGTATTCTCGGCAAGAAGCAAATAGGGTGGAATTGATGATTTTATGTCAATTAAGAAATTGAGCCATTGCAAAATGTTAAGTAATAATGAAACAAACAAAGATTTCGGAATATTTTAAATCAAATTGATTCGACTGTACTCCCTCTTACCGACTCCCTTTTCCCTACAATTATATACTATGAATTGTTTGTTAATGTTCTCTTAACCGTCTTTTCGATTATCCGTCATACCCTTGGTCCGATGCCCTGAAGGATAATCGAGGTTCCACTGTATGTGGTCATTTCCAATAAGTACACTTTAATTTAGAAGTCATTAGTATGCATTTGTCTTAGAATTTGTTTGTTTATAAACATATTGCAATTATAGTGGTGGAATATACAAAAATGTAAGAATATTTAAATATTTGATGATTATCTTATATCTTGAGAAATGGAGCTGATACAAAGAAAAGGTTTATATTTTTGGAATCGGCACAAATGAATTAACCAAAATCAGTTGATTTTTTTTTTGTTGGGCTGTGAATCAGTTTGGCTTTATGAAACACAGATCAACAACAGATACAATGTTCAATTATAAGATAGTTGAAAAAAAAATACAGGAGAAATACAATTGAGAAATCATAGTTGCTCGTGATTTTGGGGGTTGCACTCAATAAAAAAGAAGTTTGTGATGAATATGTAAAAATTGTGAGAGACATGTATGAACGAGTAACAACTAGTATTAGAACAGGTATGGAAGAAACTGATAAATTTCAAGTAGCATCGCTTTAAGACTCGGTGCTTAGTCCTTATTTATTCTCATTAGTGTTGGATCACATAACAGAGAAACTACAGGGTAACATTTCCTGGTACTTAATGTATGTTAATGATATAGAAGAAATAGTGAAAGTGATTTAGAATGAAAACTGGAACAGTGGAAATACACTTTTGAGGTAAAAGGTTTAAAACTTAATAGTACAAAAAAAAACAGTATTTTTGTAATGTTCATTTAAAGATGGAGTTACTACAAATTAAATGATATCTTTGGATAATAAAATGATTGTGGTAATAGTTTTAATTACCTAGTATTACAGAGTAATGGGAATAAGGATACATGCAGTAGAATTAGAGTGAGATGGATAAAGTGAAAGGAAGCGACTACTGTGTTGTATTACAGAAAGATTCCAATGAATTCTTGGCTATTTGAATACCAGAGGCGAGTTTAAACTAAGTCTGAGTATCTGAGTAGACAGTATTGGCGATGTCAACAAACTACAGGGGGCACTTTGACAGATATTAAGCTGATCACGCACGTAGGAAAACAAAACAGAGCTACCATAATCTTTGTAGGTGAATGATTGTTGTGTCTAAAAATTATCCGTATTTATTATCTTCCATTTATTTTTTTGTTAACGCAATGACAAGTAAAGAGATTGAAGTTAGTCTGCTCCATATTTTGAAATATATAGGAGACACAAAAAGACCTTTAAAAGAAGGCAAGGCCTTGTTAAAGGCTGGCCACGTTGTGTTGTGTGGCAAATATAATAACAAATTCGTCAGTTTGTGACTGCAAACAACTAATTTAAATGATGCGCTACATGAAATCACTGTGGAGGTGTTAAGAGACGAGTGGATGGTAAAATGCACTTACAAAGCCCGCCAGGGAGGAATGTGCGTGTGTTTTATTACGCATTAGTCTAGCATTCACCAGTTCCTCATTGATTTTTCTTTCGTGATTTCCTTTAAGAAGGCATTGAGAGGGAATAACACCTTTCTTTGAAAGTTTCTTTTTCCCTGCTGCAGTTGTAATAGAAATTTTAATTAAGATATACAGGGTGGTGAATCGTCCAACGGGCCATAGGAAACTCAATGGGAAATTATAAATTGTTGAATTCCTGCTTCCCTAATTATTTTACACCAAAAGTCATGGGAAACTATTTGTAGAGGACTCAAATATGTATCGAAAACAACTGTTAAAATTATTCTACGACTTAAACGTATTCCAAAATTTTGCTAAAATATAATACATTTTTCTGTGAAAAAATGTGTATTACGTGTTGCGTTTTGTCATATTATTGTTTCTGATATTTGACAATATTTAAGTCAATTATATTACATTTATCTATGATTTAAATGGCCAAAATTTTGTAATTTATTGTTAAAAAAAATTAAGTTGATTAAAAAATGTACTCAGTTGAGGAGAAAAAAGCAATAATAAAAATGTTTTATTCATGTTTTATTATAACATTTGTTATAGTTTTATGTTTAGAAATTATCATATATTATTATTAGGAATTAAGATCACAGTAACAGTATATCGGAATTCATTGAATTGTTGTATAACTTAACTTAACATGGAATTAAATTTTAGTGAATTAGAATATCTTACGTTAAATAAAGATCCGGTACTTAGTGGCAGGAAAAGGTTCGCGCTATTGCCTGAATACAACATTATGCGATTTTTCGTCAACTGAGTACATTTCATTATATTGATCGATTTGTAAACAATATAATTTATTGTTCACAAAGTAATGTTCATTAGTAGTAGTATTAAGTAAAATTCATTGTTTATAATTTAATCATAAAATAAAAAAATTGACAATTCAAATTGTCAAATATCTGACATCAATATAATAAAAGACACACGTCCTAATATATATTCTAGCATTACGTGTGGCCTAACTTTTTTGAAAAATGTATTATATTTTTGCAAAATTTTGAAGTACATTTGATTCGTAGAACGGTTTTAACATTTGTTTTTAATTCAGATTTTAGTCCTCTACAAATAGTTATTTATGACTTTTCATCTAAAATAATTAGGGAAGCAGCAATTCAACAATTTAAAATTTCTCATTGAGTTTCCTATGGCCCGTTTGACGATTCACCACCCGGTATGTTACTGTATATATTTGATTAGGTTAGGTAGGCACATTATATATAATAAATGTTGCAATTCTGTTCAGCAAATTTACTTGAAAAAAAAAATCTGTTTATAAAAAATGTTTAATTACTATTTAACTGGGAATAAGCCACAATTAAAGATAAAAAAATACGTTTATTGACGTTTCAATTTCCACTTCTGAAATCTGCTTATGTTTTGTTCAATTTTAGTAGATTTTTCCAATTCAAGTTTACATAGCACTCTGTATTCTTCCTTTTCGTGGGTTGGTAAGCATTGAGATATTTTCTCCACT